GCAACACAGAGAAGACAAGTAGTGATGCTACAGCATCTTACTACGCTGATGGACAGTACTGTAATGGGGTTTGTGGGGGAGATTTGGTGAAGGGGGGACCCTAGTAAACATAATATTCTTCATGTAATTGTAGATTAATGACAACAAAATAAATTAATTTAAAAAAAACAAAGAAAAGAATAATTAAAAAAAAATATCACTACGTATTGGGAAACCTGTGACCCTTCCCCCTCAGTGTGTCATTCTTACTAGCCCTCCATTCCCTCTGGGTGCTATCCCTAATAGTATGAGCTAAAACTCGCATAACAAAATGTCTGGAAATGGTAAAATGAGCTATAAAAGCAAGAACAGCACGTCTGTACCTCATTTCTAGAGAACAAAACTTTCTCTGGTTCACCAAGGCTATGAAACAAGGACTTAAAAAGTTCATGAATATTTCTCCATAACAGAAAATACAGTTTATATACACTCCCTCCCATTAAAAATAAAACATTAAAAACAAAACTTTAATAGATCCCCTCACTAGCACTCTTTATAAATCAGACTTGTCCATAAATGCACTTTTATTAGACCTCAGGTTCTACATTCTAAGTTATGTACCAACCTCACATGCTGTTTCCACCTAATTGCTGGCAGGAAATAGGAACTACAGGAATGGACTAGGCAACGGCTAGAAATCTTGATTAAGTTTATTGGAAATATGGACTAAATACGGCACTTTAATTAGTATCAGACAGAAGGATGAATCGATCTCCAATAAAGCACAAACTGTTGAAGCGATAAAATTTAGAAAACGTGTCTGAGGCATAATTCACTCTGATGATGGAGGAGACGAATCTCTTTCCTGTTATACAAGATGAGTTCAAGATAAAAGGAACCACCTTGCTGGAAAGCTGCAGTAGGTCAACATTCAGGAGACACATTTTTTAAGGTAGTCTGCTGTTGGGATGCAATGATAAATATAAATCTTCTAATTCATTTCAAAAGTTGACTCAATGTTTGTGAAGAAACAGAGAAGCTATCTTAGCCAAATTTCCTTGTGATAAAAGGATATATTGGAGTATGTACATACTGGAGCTTGATTGTATTATTTCCTGACGTCCCAATATTTTAATTCATGTAAATTGTCAATTTATATGTTCCCTTCTGTTAGAATCTCTTTATCAGGTACATTATGAATATATTAAAAATTAAATGAGAAACATCCTATGAAAACTTACTATTTGTGAAAAAAGTTAGTGTTAGAATAATGGAACTATTCATATAAATGTTAATTCATTTGATTGCCCAAAATATTTAAATATCAATTAAAGATTTTGTAGAAATGATGCTTTAAGAAAAGCATGATACAAAAGACTACATATTGTATGATATCATTTATATGAAATGCCCAGAAAAAAAATATAGAGGTAGAAAGCAGATGAGAGGTTTCCTGGAACTGGGAGTCACAGAGATAAAGATGAGCCTGAGGGAACTTCTTGAAGTGATGTGTTTTAAAACTGAATTGTGATGATAGTAGTATAAGTGCATAAATTTACTAAAAGTCATCTAAATTGCAATGGAATAATTTTATGCTATAATAAATTATACCTTAATATAATTTTGGAAGATTCTGTAGAAAATAACATGGCATTGAGATTCTTAGGGAATTTGCACTCCCGAAGAACTCATGCACTACACGGGGGGGTAGTGTTTTTGCCAACCCCCTACTCCCACCAACTCACTCTCCACCAAGTGAAGACACAGCAGGAAGCGGGCCTTCTGTTGCTCAGAAGAGGCTCCTCACTAAGAACCTGACCGTACTGGCTCCCTGATCCCAGACTTTTAGGCTCCAGAGCTGTGAGAAATAAATGTTGTGTAAGCCTCCCAGTCTACGGTATACCACAAAATGTAGTACATACATACAACAGAATCTTATTTGGCCATTAAAAGGAGTGAGGTCCTGACACATGCTACAAGACAGATGAAAAACATGCTGAGTGAAAAGTCACCAATCACCAAAGAGCACATATTACATGATTCTCCAGAACAGGCAGACCCATACTGACAGAGTCAATTAGCGGTTGCTTAGAGCTGGGGTGGTTTGAGGTGGACAGGTGAAGGGTACAAAGTTTCTTTTTGGGGTGATGAATATCTTCTAAAACTTCTGATGGCTGCACAACTCTTAATATATGAACATACATGAATATAGCCCATCTTTAAAATAAATCTCTCCCTTGACTCCACATGCCCTGCCGTAAATGTCCCCAGTGTCCTCTCTCACAGCCTCCTCTTAGGCTTGAAGAGCCTCCTGAAGAGCTGTTTATCCTCACCTTCACTTCACTGTCACACTGCACCTCCGCTCTGCTTGCCTGCAGGACTAAATACCACACCTTAGATATTTACTGTGACTACACCAGAAAAATGCACGCAAGGAACTGAATTACTAAGTTCTGACTGAGCATCTACCTGGTACTAGGTCATAAGATCAAACAGGACAAGATATCTGCTCTTTCCACAAAGGGAAAACACAATCAAACTAAACAGATGAGAAATACATTAGTTTGAAAATTAAAAAAAAGATGAGCCAGAAAATATCTGCTTCTCACTGGATTACCTAAAGGTTATGTAAAGAACCATTTGTTCTCAGCAAATGGTGGTTAAGTTCAGATTCTTGATACCAAGGATTCAGCTGTACAAAGAGAAGAGGGAAGCTGACTGCAGGCAGAGAGAAAAGTGAGTGCACTGACAACAGGCAGGTATGTTTGAGGAGCTGCATGAAGCCCAGGGTAGCTGAACAGGAACTGCAGAGGACGAGACAGGCCAGGTGAGGTCTCAGAGGTAATGAGAGCTTGGTCAGGGGCAGACCTGCAGGATGCTGTAAGGCAGAGTGAGAAGTTTCAACTGGCTTCTTTTCAATCTCCTAATACTCTGTGCACATCTGTCGCATCACCCTTCGTCCTCTGAACCCACTCTCCAACGCTTAGACTGTCTGCTCTGAAGAAAATGAAAGTTCCCAATCATCTTACAGGCCTAGCCAGTGTCTGACCAGTGCTAGCCAGGACCGCCACAGTGGTTTTCTGAATCAACAGGCTATACACTGACACCGTGATAAGGCAAAAATCCTAAGTGCTGTAATAAATTTTGAATAAAGGTTAAGTGAAAGGAAAAAAATGTTTTCCAAAGGCAGTGTACAAATGGGAGGCAGGCAATTTTCATTTGAATTCCTGAGGCCTGTCTGGTTATTTCTACCAGAGTCTGATGTGTCCCCAGTTTGCATCAGTTAAAAAGGACATCTTCTAAACTTAAACTCATTCCCAGATTTCGAAACATAAAACTGTCAGCAAAGAACAGCTTTAGCATCTCTGGTGACTGTGCAGTAGTCATTAGCTGGTTCTCTAATTCAAGCATATTCCCTAAGTTGCCAAGTCATTGTGCAGAAATGTGGTATCTATCGTGACATCACCACAAAGCTATAACAGATGTGGAAAAGCTGTTAGGTTACAGTTGTAGTAACGGAAATAGGATCACGCACTACCTTTTAAATAACCCACGATAACAACATAGGCTCTCCTTGGAGGTGACTTACAAACATTTAATTGCCTAATAGCTTCACATCTGCATGTTCAACTGTGTACTACACAGGGATTCCGCTACAGTTATGCTTATGGCATCATTATCCAGAAACACACACACCGATTCTAACACAGTGGAGACAGAGCTTGCCAAATAACACTTTCAGAGTGTAAAGTCATACAATTTTGCAAATAAATAAAGCACGTTTCTTTGGATGGGGGAAAAAACACATTCTTTTCAACTGGCTTACTGTGGTCTTGAGGCTTCAGCCTGGTCTGTCTGCAGTTTCTCTCCTCCTTCCACTTCCATTGTACAGTAAACAATTCGATTGGGAGCAACTGACTTCAAACCCTGTACTTCCATTATGACAATCTAAAGATAAGAAGACATTGTGAATGATGTTAAGCTGACAGCACTTAGCCATACATAGAGAGAGCAGCATGAACTACAATTAGAAGGACAAATTGATAAAAGTATCCATCGTATCAATGGTAATTTAAAATTTTTAATTTTAAAATTATAAAAATCTTAAAAAATGAAAATTATAAAAGTTCTTTATAATCCACTTCTCTTCACAGATGGTATGATAAATAACATTTTGAGTAAGTCTGGTATCTGAATTATTTCTTGCCAGCCATTAAAATAAGATTAAAGTCTCTAAATACAAGCCCAGTGACTGAAGTGAGATATAAACTCACTTAAGATCCTTAAAAACTTATGGAAAGTATGCATGAAGAAAACAGAATTAGAAATGAAAATTCAATGAATGTGATTAAAGGAGTAAAGGTTGAGTTTATAAAGTGATATATTTATTTAATGTAGACACTGTTACCATTACACCAATTCATTGATATCATTATATGACATCATCAGAAATTTTCTATATTCACCAATTTTAGGTGACTACTAAGTATTTATAAGATAATTTTTCTTTTTGGCCAAAGTATACCATTTTATGAAAATTATATGTAAAATATAACTTGTCAATGAATATCTTACTACTAACTTACAAGGAAAAAGTAATTTTTCTATCTGTTAAAGGCATATACTAATTTAATGCACTACATAGAAAAGGGTAGAAAGAATGTTGTTTTCCTATTGATCTATAACTCTTAGGGGAAAGGGAAACAAATATTTTACAACTGTGCATTTTATATTTATGTAAAATGTTACCAATCTTAAAATATGGTAACCTGTCATTCTCACTAGATATACACATAAAATATTACTGAATATTTGCCAAGATTTTTGCCAAGATTTTTAAATAAAAACCTGCATCATGAAGTTGATGCAAATTCTCAAAATTAGTAAATTATATTCAATTACATTTTTATATATGTACGTTCATTTCCTTATTGATCTCATCTTGTATTTGTAACAAATAAGATTAACAGCATTCATGCCATGTAGCTACAAAATATTCCCTGAAAACACCATCTATATCATTTATTGATCATTTCATGCATTATTAAAGTTTACTGTATTCTCATAGAGTTGAGTGAGACCTTACAAAAGGTCTCAAAGAAACAAACCATCTTAGATAAAGAACCATTATTTCTTTCAGTTTTAGCACAAGAGAAGGGGTTCTGTTTGTGAATACAAATGCCTATTATTTTTGTTGTTTTTTCATAAAAACATATATGGGAAACCAATCCCCCAAAAATTAATATCAGTCTCAAAACTACTTTCCTTCCCTGACCAAGGCTTTTCTTACTTTGCTATATTAAAATGTATACCAACATACAAATAAAAATCAGGACTTAACTGGAAATAGACTAGGAGACTAGAGAATGGGTAAGAGTTGGTAATAGTAGCATCTTTCACAGCTACTCTAATACTAAAGGAAGCTGGGGTGAAGTAATAAATCTTGCTTAAGAAAAGAAGCAATAAAAGTTATACATCTTTAATAAATCAAATTTGTGATTAGTAATATTGAAAATCACTAGATTCTTACACTTACCTAACCAGAAGCTGAAACAAATGAAATAATCATATAGAATAAAAGCCAACACCATATGGACTTACCATTGTAACTCTCATGGCTTAATTCAATGATAACAGTTTTTGAAGGTCACTTAAAATGTATGAAACAACAGAATTGTGTACACAAGATAAATCCAGAAATATTGACAGGCTCTGGTTCATATTTGGGAATACAAATGTTTGCACTGCATCTCTTTCTGTGGTATGTTTAACAGCCAAAGTGCAAGAAAGAAGAAAGGAAGCATCTGCTTAACACTATTCCTGTCACCTCAGTTACAAGCTACTGAAAACAGGACCTCCTAAAACATGCAACTTGTGAAATGACTTTCTGTTGCTTAAAACAATACTCCCATCTGTGCAGGGAATGTTTCTTGCAGAATTGACACTTACAAAAAAAGGTAACTTCTGTTATGAATTAATACATATAAATAAAATAACATAATTTTACAGATCTGATTTAAAAAAATAAGCTAGCCTCAATCACTAATGATAAAGACAGCCAAGAGTTCACTAATTTAAGTGAACTAACCTAATTTAAGTCCTTGTTTAAACCAATTCCAAATTTCAGGAACCACAGAACTTCCAGGGAACTATAGGAAATGAATCTAAACAGGGTTGTCTTCTCTTCCCCAATTTCTTTGTGACTGATGTAATAAGGATAAAATAGACACAGTTCTAATCATCAGGGAAATGCAAATTAAAACCACAATGAGATATCACCTACACCAGTTAGATGGCCAACACTCAAAAAACAAACAACAACAAATGTTGGCAAGGTGTGGAGAAAGGGGAGCCCTCCTACACTGCTGGTGGGAATGTAAACTAGTTCAAACATTATGGAAAGCAGTATGGAGGTTCTTCAAAAAACTAAAAATAGAAATACCACTTGACCCAGGAATTCCACTCTCAGAAATTTACCCTAAGCATGCAGTAGTCCAGTTTGAAAAAGACAAATGCACTCCTATGTTTATCGCAGCACTATTTACAATAGCCAAGAAATGGAAGCAACCTAAGTGCCCATCAGTAGATGAATGGATAAACAAGATGCGGTACATATATACAATGGAATATTATTCAGCCATAAGAAGAAAACAAATCCTACCATTTGCAACAACATGAATGGAGCTAGAGGGTATTATGCTCAGTGAAATAAGCCAGGTGGAGAAAGACAAGTATCAAATGATTTCATTCACCTGTGGAGTATAACAACAAAGAAAAAACTGAAGGAACAAAACAGCTGTAGACTCACAGAGTCCAAGAATGAACTAACAGTTACCAAAGGGAAAGGAACTGGGGAGGATGAGTGGGAAGGGAGGAATAAGGGGGAAAATGGGCCATTATGATTAGCACATGTAATGTAGGGGGTGGGGACATGGGGAAGGCAGTATATAGAGAGAAGACAAGTAATGATTCTACAGCATCTTACTATGTTGATGGACAGTGACTGTAGTGGGGTATGTGGGGGGGACTTGATAACAGGGGGAGTCTAATAACCATAATGTTGTTCAAGTAATTGTACATTAAGGATACCAAAAAAAAATGTAATGCTTTCATTAATGACTATTTTCCTGTAACTGATCTTGGTCCTTTAGACATCACATTAAACATTTTGGCTTTCAATAATAATAATAATAATAATAATAATAATAATAATAATAATAATAATAATAATAATACCTTAATAAAAAAAGTTGTAATAAAAAAATAATAAAGCATATATAACAAAAAAATAGACACAGTTATCCTAGAAGCATAAAGGAAACATGTTCAAAATATGAAACTAGGCAACATGCTTCTGAATAGTGCATCGCCCACAGTTATGTGGCACTAAGGTGCGTGCAGGTCTGTGAGGAAACAAAGCTGAATGGTAGGGTGAACATGGGGATCATATGCCACCAGATACAGAGGAAGTCAGGGTACAGATACATCACCAAATACTAGGGTCTCCCAGCCTAGTACCAATGAGAACTGTGTGAAAATCAGCTATACTCATGCCACTGACACTATTCCCCTTATACAGACGTACAATTTCAGATGAATATTTGTTGACCTACTCTACTTGAATATTGAATTTCAGCGTACCATTCGTTGTATGGCTTAGTGTTTTGTGAGTTTGCTTGTCTCTTGCTTTATTATTCTCCCTGAAGGCTTCATGAATGGAGAGACCTAAAAGTGATCTTGTGTGTCTAATTGCTGCCTTTTGATATCCACAAAAGGTGCCTCATTCAGTATTTACTGAGTCAACTGTGTACCAGGCACAGGTTAGGCTATTGTGATAACTCAGAAAAGAAAAAGAGACATTAACTTCCTGCAGCTTATAGTCCGGTAGAGAAAGTCAGATGATCAATAATAAACATAATAAATAACTGAACTATGTTAGGTGACAAGCACTCTGGCGAAAATTCAGGGTGGCAAGGGAGCAGGATGTGGTGAGAGAAGGGAGAGGGTAGCAATTTTAAAAGAGATGATAAAATGTGAGTTTTTCAAGCCCTCACTCACTCCCTTAGACTTCAGTTCTTAGAAAAGGCTCCTCAACTGGATCAACTCTAAGCTGATGAACTGTGAGACTCTTAAATTGGATTAGCTGCTTGCCTTTCAGTTTTCTGAGGCTGAAATCTGGGATCTGAGGAGCAAAGCTTGGATGATGGGCCGGGGATAATTATGCGGCTTAGCGAGGCTAAGGCCCAGAGGCCCTAGGGCCAGAAGGGTACCCAATCTATTTTCCAGTGTCCTACAGACAAGCACTGTGCAGTCTGTACTCTATATGTGATTTCATTTTGCTTTTGGATACATAACTCCTCTTACAATACTGTAGGCACCATGGAATAATCCATATTATGCCATGATAGGAAAATATCTGCTTTATATAGCTATAGCAAAAGAAAACATCAAATAATTTGGTAAATATGCAAGCCCCTCAGATCAGGCAAAATGACATTTTTACTCATATTCTCCTTATACCATTTTATTAATTGAACAGCCCTGTTTCATAAACTGGCAATAAAATACAGAGTAACAACTCAAAGTTTCACAGAAACACTAACTTATGAGCCTAATTTTGTTCTCAAAAGAAGAAAGAAAATTCATGAAAGCTAATTACTTACAATTGCTTAGGATATTCAAACTATAGAGAAAAGAGAAAGTGTCTTAAGCTGTTTTCAGTTTTGCATTGTTTATAGAGATAGATTTCTTTATTGTTAATGAATTTCAATGCAAAACTCCTGTTAGAAAAAGTTATACTGTAATTAAATAATTGATTTTATTTTGTGCAGAAACCTAAGAAAAAAGAGAGGGCACTTTACATTTCAGTCAACAGGAAACCTGAGACAGGAATGATAAGGAAATTGGATATGAAAGATACGAAGTGGTTTCAAATTAAACATCCTTAGTTTATTAGGTTAAAGCGATTGAAAAAAAAACCAGTAGCAACGCCACGAGGCAAAGTCATTAGATAATCCCAGGACTGAGTCCTGAGAGAAGAAAACCTTGTATTTCTGTTCTGACACAAAATTTAGTCTATTAATCTGTAAAGAAAACATTAGCCTGGAAGTTAGAGAGGGAGGCCATTGTCTTATCCTGAAGCTTGAATTATCTTAAAGTTGAGTAAGTGGAGGAAACAACAAAAGCAGACATTTGTGTTCTCTGCCAGAAACTAATCAAGCCAACGGTAAGAACTATCAACCAAGAAATTTAAAACTGTACCTCCTAAACCTGCACATACTCTTATTTGTCAATCAGCAAACTCCAACAGCAGGGCTGGAAACTGGCAGAGAGGGAGAATATAGCAATGTAAGGAAGGAGCTCTAAACCTTCATTTCTGAAAGCACTACAAATTTAAGCTTGAATTGTGAGTGTACGTATGTGTATGTGTTGCGTATAAACCCACAACTATGTACATGGACTAGCCCATATACGCAGATGAGCAATGAGGCGATGTCATTAGGCAGAACACCAAGAGCGGCTGTACAAAGAGTCACTATCCATAGCTGGGCTCCACTGAACTGCATAAAAGGGATCACACTCTGAAGTCTTCGGGAACATCATTTTAAATGCATGACATTTGTTCTTGTTCTTTATAATATTTACTGTCCTGGTAATGAAACTGCAAGTCCTGGAAAGGAAGAATTATCTTCTTCTCATTATCTATATGCACCTAATGGGTGCTCTACAGCTGGCTGACGTGATACGATTCTTGAAAGATTTAGTAGTTGAGGTAGATAAAAAACAAGGCTGAGCAAAACCTGAAAGGTGTTCCCAAAGGACAAAGAAGTCAGTTCTGTGTTTAAATCCTATTTCCATCCAAGTGTGTTCTGGAGCTTACTTTACCAATAATCTTACACTCCTCTGGCTGGCACACAGAACACCTGCCTCAAAACTTTGATTTTTTAATCCTAATACTGCTGTTTAAGGACAATTTGCATTAATTTGCATTCACAACTTGTCTAGCAAAGGAAGAGTAATTTCACTTCTTCAAAACATATTACACTGCTTTAACATCGAAAAGTTACCATGAAGGTCAGCAGCAATTATTCTGCAGCCCATTTACGCTGCCAGAGGCGCGCAAGGGATAAAGCCACTTACCTCTAAGGTGAATGACAGCACAATGTCGGACTTTGACAGCTGAATCTCATTTTCATCTCCAATGTCCAAAAATGCAGAATTCTGTGAACGTTTTAATTTTTGTAATTTAAATTCTGGACCACCTTTCGAAACTGGAAGACTTTCCAAATTGGCCATTAGCAAATTCACTGAAGACCGCAGCTCTTCTATACACATTGCCTCCATTTCTTTTGCTATAAATTTGGGGAAGTTTCTTTCCTTAAAAATAATTTAAAAAATAACATTGTTATACAGGCCATATTTCAATTTTGTCATGAAAGATTATATGATGTACACACTTGACTGTCTCAGAAATTGTGACTCTCAATATAATACATCTGCCTGTTACTTTAGTCTCTAGGCTTTAAAAATCGCAGACTTTGACAATTCTGATTATATTGAAAGGTACCTTATATACCTTACCAAGGATCATTATGGTACAAAATGAAGAACATATACATGTTCACGCTCACTTTATTTTTGATTAGGTATATGCTTATGGGAATAACAAACTGAAAACACATATGGAAGACATGTTAGTGTATAGGTGAATCTTATTTAGCCACTGTTAACTTTAAAATGCTTGGGGTAACTGGTCTGTAAGAAAAATGTTCAGTATGCACTGCTCCGCCTTTTAGGAAAGAAACAGTTAATAATATTTCTCTTTCTTAACCACAGATAAGCATTATTGGTAGGGCAGGCTTTTTATAAATAAACATTTAAATTAAAAACCCATGATACTAAATAGCAATATGGTCATAGTTTTTGAATTAGTTAATTTTCACATCCCATAAGTGGCCAAGATCCCTTTTTGGTCATAAATCCATGTTTCAGTAAGGGTTTAGGAAAACTTTAGTTTAAAATAAAAGGCCAATTTATGATAAATGCTCTATATGGAAAACAATATTAGAAGAATCATTTTCTTTTTAAATTACATAGCCATGTCATTCACTCCTTTAACTGTGCAATCAGACTTGGATTTCTTTCACTCAATGAACAGAACATTGGAAACACTGATATTTGATATTGACAGACACTGCCAAACTGCCCTTGGAGAAGACTGTGCCCGTTTATTTTTCCACAGAGAGAAAAATGAGGTTTCCTTACATTCTTGGTTCTTTCATCTTTGACAACCTGGCACTTAGCTCTTTTCTCTTAAACTTAGAAGTCATGCAGCTTTACAACTGAGGTATGGCAGAACGTGACGAGCACTGCACCACACCGGCAGGGAGAAAGCCCCCGGCAGCCACCTTTCAAATGAAGGAAATCAGCACCTTCACTAGGATTTCCTTTGGCAGCATCCAAAACATACCCTAGAAATCCACAACTCTGGGATGGCTGGAACACATCCAGAGGGGCTCATGTCGACCTGCATCTGATCACTGGCTCACTCGCCCCGGTTCGTTCACGGGCTGCAAAGCAACATCTGGCCGCACTTCGCGAGCCAGTCTCAGAGTCTCAAGCCACCTGTTTTTCTTTTCCCACAATATGACCTTCACATATTTCTTTAAAAATAATTTCCATATAATCAATATTAAAATTGCAGAACTGGCAGAGAGGGAGAATATAGCAATGTAAGGAAGGAGCTCTAAACCTTCATTTCTGAAAGCACTACAAATTTAAGCTTGAATTGTGAGTGTACGTATGTGTATGTGTTGCGTATAAACCCACAACTATGTACATGGACTAGCCCATATACGCAGATGAGCAATGAGGCGATGTCATTAGGCAGAACACCAAGAGCGGCTGTACAAAGAGTCACTATCCATAGCTGGGCTCCACTGAACTGCATAAAAGGGATCACACTCTGAAGTCTTCGGGAACATCATTTTAAATGCATGACATTTGTTCTTGTTCTTTATAATATTTACTGTCCTGGTAATGAAACTGCAAGTCCTGGAAAGGAAGAATTATCTTCTTCTCATTATCTATATGCACCTAATGGGTGCTCTACAGCTGGCTGACGTGATACGATTCTTGAAAGATTTAGTAGTTGAGGTAGATAAAAAACAAGGCTGAGCAAAACCTGAAAGGTGTTCCCAAAGGACAAAGAAGTCAGTTCTGTGTTTAAATCCTATTTCCATCCAAGTGTGTTCTGGAGCTTACTTTACCAATAATCTTACACTCCTCTGGCTGGCACACAGAACACCTGCCTCAAAACTTTGATTTTTTAATCCTAATACTGCTGTTTAAGGACAATTTGCATTAATTTGCATTCACAACTTGTCTAGCAAAGGAAGAGTAATTTCACTTCTTCAAAACATATTACACTGCTTTAACATCGAAAAGTTACCATGAAGGTCAGCAGCAATCATTCTGCAGCCCATTTACGCTGCCAGAGGCGCGCAAGGGATAAAGCCACTTACCTCTAAGGTGAATGACAGCACAATGTCGGACTTTGACAGCTGAATCTCATTTTCATCTCCAATGTCCAAAAATGCAGAATTCTGTGAACGTTTTAATTTTTGTAATTTAAATTCTGGACCACCTTTCGAAACTGGAAGACTTTCCAAATTGGCCATTAGCAAATTCACTGAAGACCGCAGCTCTTCTATACACATTGCCTCCATTTCTTTTGCTATAAATTTGGGGAAGTTTCTTTCCTTAAAAATAATTTAAAAAATAACATTGTTATACAGGCCATATTTCAATTTTGTCATGAAAGATTATATGATGTATACACTTGACTGTCTCAGAAATTGTGACTCTCAATATAATACATCTGCCTGTTACTTTAGTCTCTAGGCTTTAAAAATCGCAGACTTTGACAATTCTGATTATATTGAAAGGTACCTTATATACCTTACCAAGGATCATTATGGTACAAAATGAAGAACATATACATGTTCACGCTCACTTTATTTTTGATTAGGTATATGCTTATGGGAATAACAAACTGAAAACACATATGGAAGACATGTTAGTGTATAGGTGAATCTTATTTAGCCACTGTTAACTTTAAAATGCTTGGGGTAACTGGTCTGTAAGAAAAATGTTCAGTATGCACTGCTCCGCCTTTTAGGAAAGAAACAGTTAATAATATTTCTCTTTCTTAACCACAGATAAGCATTATTGGTAGGGCAGGCTTTTTATAAATAAACATTTAAATTAAAAACCCATGATACTAAATAGCAATATGGTCATAGTTTTTGAATTAGTTAATTTTCACATCCCATAAGTGGCCAAGATCCCTTTTTGGTCATAAATCCATGTTTCAGTAAGGGTTTAGGAAAACTTTAGTTTAAAATAAAAGGCCAATTTATGATAAATGCTCTATATGGAAAACAATATTAGAAGAATCATTTTCTTTTTAAATTACATAGCCATGTCATTCACTCCTTTAACTGTGCAATCAGACTTGGATTTCTTTCACTCAATGAACAGAACATTGGAAACACTGATATTTGATATTGACAGACACTGCCAAACTGCCCTTGGAGAAGACTGTGCCCGTTTATTTTTCCACAGAGAGAAAAATGAGGTTTCCTTACATTCTTGGTTCTTTCATCTTTGACAACCTGGCACTTAGCTCTTTTCTCTTAAACTTAGAAGTCATGCAGCTTTACAACTGAGGTATGGCAGAACGTGACGAGCACTGCACCACACCGGCAGGGAGAAAGCCCCCGGCAGCCACCTTTCAAATGAAGGAAATCAGCACCTTCACTAGGATTTCCTTTGGCAGCATCCAAAACATACCCTAGAAATCCACAACTCTGGGATGGCTGGAACACATCCAGAGGGGCTCATGTCGACCTGCATCTGATCACTGGCTCACTCGCCCCAGTTCGTTCACGGGCTGCAAAGCAACATCTGGCCGCACTTCGCGAGCCAGTCTCAGAGTCTCAAGCCACCTGTTTTTCTTTTCCCACAATATGACCTTCACATATTTCTTTAAAAATAATTTCCATATAATCAATATTAAAATTGCAGACTTATTACCACAGAGCAGGAAAAACACGTAACTACTTAGTATAGTAGTTTCCTCACACTTGGTTTCCTTTGGGAAAAAACAGTGTTTTGGAATGTTTTCTTCAATACATGCAGAAGGAAAAAAAAGCAAAATAAGCCATAAAATAAACCAGATTTTTTTTACCTTTGTGCACTAACTTCAAAAGCTGTCATGAAAAGTATCCACAACTCAAGATAAGGGGACAGGTCCTTTCAATGCCATATGGGGAAAAAGCCATCCAAGGATCTTCTGCAGAAATATATTTAGCTCAACTTACTTCCTTCTTAGACCTTTGCTTAAAGGTCTCAGACAGTGAAGTTACATCTTACCATATAGAATTTTGTCAGGAAGAGATGCAAATTATGTGTTTCTGGTGAATAAGATAATTCAATGGTTACAGTTAAATCCCTATTGGAAATTAACCATTTTTATATCTAATCCATGAGTCTTATTTTCACTTTGCCTTAAAAACACCTAGTTTTCAAATGCACTTTGGGCCAGTTTTAACATCTGACTAGTTTGCTCATTAACTATAAACACTGAATGAAAATTCTATTGTGTGCTCATTTTATATTTGCATGATAGTCATAATTTTATCTTTACAAAATTTTTATTTTAGCAAAACAAAAGGCCAATATATCACATATTTGAAAGTTTGGGTGCACCAGTTGTTTTTCAAGTTTTCAAGGTGTTATATTATGGGAAAGTTAACAATAGCACATGAAAAGAAAATTTAGGTTTAGTTGAAAGCACTTTATTAACTATTATTTTTCAAGGAGGAGACTGGCAAGAACCACCAAAATTGACTTTTATCAGCATTTTCCACTTTTTTAAAAACTAGACTATACTAGAATATTTTTTTCTCCTTTAAAAAGAAGACTCTTTCAACATTTTGAGGTTCATTGATGGTATTCTATCAACTTTGTTTAGCCTGCTCATGTTGCCTCTTTCTTGGAAACAAAATCACTTGAACCTCAGACAAGTATATATGTATATATTAAATTTAACCTTTTAAATTAGAACAAAATCAGAAATAGGGTTATTCTCTAGTTTAACTGTGAGTTGCTCCTATAAGCCATCGTTGAAATGTTCTACTTTAGTCAAGTTACAGAGCAGCTCATTAGCAACAATAACCCATAATATATGTGAAAACAATGTTTGTTCCAAAAATAAATTCCTATCATTCAAATTTAGTCATTTCTTTTTCTTACATGCTCTTCCCCTTCCACTAGACAAAGCGTGGACTAGAGTGGCAGTTGGGAGATGGTGACAACCATCAGATTCTGGAAATAGTCTGAAGATGGATGCAAATGGATCTCCTGATGAACTGGGTATGAAGTATAAGAAAAAGAAGGAGTCAAAGATAATTCCAAGTTTTGGCCTGAGTAACTGGAAAGATAGTACAGCCAAGAAGTGGCACACCTTTGCCCCTTGACGGGAAGTTACAAACACCTTCTTCCGCCCTGTACTCTTGATTCCATTTCCTCATCTTTGTATTCTAAACAGTAAATGACCACCTTCCATAACTGAGTTATTATGCCATGTTTATTACCTATTGTGGGGCTCTTCCAAATAAAACATGAGCTCCACCAGGACGTGGCAGGAACACCTGTGTCCAATTTTATCCTGACACAACTACATTTGTCTGGATATATCCCAAGTGCCTAAATCAATGACTGGCTATTTTAGTAGGTGCTCATTATTCACTGAATTTATGGGTAGAAAAATTCAGGAACCAAAAAGTTGAGTAACTTGCCTAGTGTCATATAGCTAGGAGATAGCAATCATGGATTTACCCACAGGTCTCTTTCTGGTCCAGTCCACATTTTTGCTATTACTTCTTAATTATGCCTTGGCTATAATAGTAAAGTCAATGTTTCTGTCTGTTGAAACAGATATTTCTGCCCTGTGGTTTATTGCTATTAGATGGTGTTGTGAAATGAGGTAGGAAGATGTATCTGATTGCAACTATTAACTAGTAATAAACCATTTTTTGATTGATTTATTACATTGGATTTATTATACGAAGAGGAGCAGGCCCAGAGAGAGTGACCCAGGCTCCTGAGTCAAAAGACAGGGCTTGAGGACTGCCTCTGCTACTAATCTCAGGGAAGTTGATGATCTTCCCTCAACCTCAAACTCCTTGTCTATAAAATATATTCACTGTACCATCCACCCTAGGCTTGTAGATTATTGTAGAGATATAAAGTAACAAGGTCAGTAAATTGTAATAAGCTTATAAATATTTTATGAAGATGGCTTAAATTTGGTGAAATTGTAGAAAGCAATGAAACATGCTCTACCTGCTATGTCAATATATTCACTAAATGGCATCTTATTTTTGGTAACATATAAAAAAATTTTTTTTCCTTCCAATCCCATTGGCTTCACTTTCTCCACACTTTTCCTCCTTGAACAACATTGCTGAAGAAATCATCAGGGTCTCCTCAAAGAGAAGTCTCCCTCTAGGCACCCGTACCCTTCTCTGACTCAGGCCAAAGGTTATAAACACACATTCACCTCCACGGATCTGAACTCGAGAACCCACCTAAGACTCTTGCTCCAAGACTCTCCCTCCTGCTGCTTAGTCCTCGAGAAATTCATCTAAACTTTATTCTAAGCATCACATATTCAGCCAGGCCCTTGGAGAACCAAGTCCGATTTACGACAATGTGCATATTCTCAGGTACAATCTATATGCAAGTAGGCAACTTAAATGCTGATCGTAGGTCCAGAATCCTGCCCCGAAGTGTCTGGCGCATCTCCCTGGATTCCCTGAGGTCTTTCAGAAAAGCAAATGCCCTTCTAGCCAGTTTCCAATTCAGGTTAAGGTTTTGGGGAAAGCATTTGTTTCTAAAGCTTCACAACAGTCTTAAAAGCTACTTGATTCCCATGCTATGAATTCCACATCTGAATCTCCAGAATGATGTCATACCTCTCTAGATATCCAGGGGGTAGTACATGGCATGCTGTCCTTTAACCACTGCCCTTTGTGTGAATGTGACTCTCTAGTTCCAACCCCATATCATCTGATATCTTCACTCCTTGCAGGTTCTTCCTCATGTCTCTGCTATTGTCATCTCTGTTATGCAAAGTTCCTTCAGTTTTCTCTATTTTTCTATGATTCCCCAACTGTTTCTCTATTTTTCTCTATAGACATTTGAACATAGTATTTACGTTCTTAAAAGTTATTTATTTATAAATGCAGTTTTCTTTGCAAAAACAAATACTTCAATTGTTAAAGTAGGTATGGTATGTATCTTCTCAAGTGCTGGAAAAGTTCACTATCTTGATTTGGGAGATCGTCACATGGGGTGTATATCCATACAGTTATCAAACTGTAAACTAAAGATCTGTGCACTTTATTGTACACATATTATACCGAAATTTTAAAAAATGAAGAAAAATTCCTAAATAGGGAAGACCCTTCAGATAGACAGAGACATGCATGGATGGAAGGCAGACGAGGAGAGCCTATTGATTGTGGATTCAGTGTTTGCTTAGCAGAATGGAAAAGGGAAAAAAAAATCTTAGTCTCAGATCAAGAGAATTATAACCAAGTTTATTTGGAAGGACCAAAAAAAAATTTTTTTAACCACTAAAGTAAATGAATACATCGATTTACTAAAAAGGATTTAGACAATTAAGTTCCATTATCTCTAAAACGTCTTACATATTAAAATGAAACTCAGAGCTTTTGTTTGAAATCTACTTTCCATAGAAACAGTGGTTGCACAAATAAAAGTAAAATACTATATTGAACACACTCTGACACACTGTACTAGAAACTTCACATCATATTTATCATCCATTATTACACCCAAATATTAGCTGAAACCACTATATGCCAAGCACTGTGCTGGATACTTCAGAATATATGATTTTGCAGGAGGATATTTTTCTTCCTGATTATGCTTAGTGCAATATTACAATTCTTCTGAATATGGCAGTTTGAGAAATTCAGACACTACTTTAAGAATAATCTATAAAAGTTATCATTGACTTCAAACATTTCATATTTATAAGGATAGATATGTAAAATAGATACTATACTCCATTTAGATAATATGCATTCAGGTATTTGAGTTTAAGAGGTATGCATGTAGAGAAGGAAATGATACAATTATGCTAGCTTTTATTTGTGCAAAATTCTTTCCACTCCCAGAAATCTAAGAAAAGAAAGAAATGTGGAACAGTATGTCGCAGTTAATTTACCTTTGCCATTTTCTCTGCCAGTTGTAAGCGACCATCCAGCTCCCTTCTGATTTGGGCTGCCTGTTCATCTGCATTATCCAGCTTAAAAATAAAACAAATGTGTACATCTCTGATTACTGAATGGCAGTGATCTACAGATTAAATCAAAGACTAAACTCAAAAGTAGGGTTTTTTTTTTAAATAAATTCTCTCAGCTACCTATTGAGAACATAGAACATTGTTTAATTAGGCTGGCAGTGCAATTAAATTTCTTGGGCACTTTTCATTGTAGTTTTGTTCACAAAAAGTTAGTAAATCTCTAAAGTTAATGCTCAGATTACAAAAAAAAAATCTATAATAATTTTCTGCCTTGTCCATAACCTGTCCACAACTCCAAACCAAGAAATATTTATTTCTTTAAGGTTACATAAAATTGTCATTAAGTTTATTCAGTCCATGCTGTGTTCAGAAAGGTCAGTCCTGAAAAGTCCCAGATAGATAAATCTCTTGTTTTGTGCTTTTGAATTTGCAGAATGCATTTCTGGATGGTGAGATACTGAGTAATGTTTTACTTCTTTGTTCTTTTAAAAAATATTTCCTTCATTTTTATAAGTTCCCATTAGTCTTAAACTATAAAAATACTATTTGATTGATTGACATAACCTTCTACCATTTAAATCTTCATATACTACTCATTCTGGTATCAGCAGACTCATGCTGCCAAGAAATCCTTCCACTCTTTTGCAGACTGGCACCACATAAGAATTCCATTCTCTGTTCTAAATTTGATTGAAAGCAAGCAAAGCATGCTACCATCATTTTTAAAGATGGTTTAAAGTGGTGTACATGGAAAATTACTTTCACTTCTTCACTGAAATAATCCTTAACTTTTTCTATGACCTCCTTTCACTTTTCTTCATGATTTAGTTCATTATAAAAACCGTCAGACTGAGGCCACCCTTTGAGCCATGCACAGTGAGGGATGCACTGGGTGGGCTACAGATGTGAACTACAGATGTTTCTCTTGACTATTAATCCGTTTCCCCTCCCACTTCCATCATTAGGAACCGTGGACCACACAATACAACCACACTTCAGCAAAGGTCAATCTAAAGACTGGGTTAATATTGAGTACAACACTAAACATCCAAGAGAATTCAGATGAATTTTGGTGAAGAACTACAAATGGACATTTTTTAAAAACAACCTTTAAAAGAAAATGCCTGAGCAAGATGAGTAAGGGGCAAAGCTGGTCAACTGGATAGTGGTGCTGGAGTGCACATGAAGAGTCAAGAAAAGGGAAGATGTTCCAATAAGAGAGCGTCAAAAGTCTGAAGGTGAGACTGGACACAGTGGTTCTAGGAATGGAGACAGGGCCAGAGAGAGGGGTGGGGCTAAGTCACAGCTACTCTTTGCCATGAATTTTTCACTGGGACTGTGCAATTGGTTCCTACAGTACTGGGAATTTAGTGGTTCTAAGCAGAACTTTGGAAAGGAAAGATCGCTTATTTGAAAGACAGATGTAAGGTTACCTTTTAAAAATATGTTTCCCGGTTGGTTTAAAAAAAATCACCTTCATTTGAAAATAAGTTTAAAAATAGGCAAGATTTTATGAAATCCTGTAAAGGAGTTTGTTATATCAAAAGCGAATACACTTTGTAGTTGATAATATAACTCAAAATCAAACAGAAACAAATTTCACTGTGCCTAAAGCCAAAAGGATCTACATTAAAAACAATTACTAAGAATATGTGGGGTCTATTTCAGATAACTGAAATCAAAGACCTAAAAGCAAAAATTATGTGTAAGAACACTGTAACTACAGTGTCTCAAATACACTAAGTGAAATGTGGACTATCTTTGATTTTTGCTTAAATGCTGATAAATTTTTTGCAGAAAAAATAAAAATGAAAAGGTTATTTGCATATACAGAGTAGAGTTCCACCAAGAAATAGCATTTAACATCTCAAAACAAAAGGCCATAATTTTCCTTCAAACTTCACCACAAAACACTAGCATCTTTAAATCATCATATTAACAGTGCTTAATTTTAAGTGGAATCATTTGAGTCAATTCTGTGTTTTACAAGTGTTTTCTTTGTAAGAGACAGTTTTCTACTACTTTTTAAAAATATTAGTACCTTAACTGCATTTTTCTGAAAAAAATGCAGGCAAAAAGTAGCAGCAAATTGCTATATGTAACTTTTAATACCCTTCTCTTAATAAAACTAAATTGAAAGGTTTTATTAGAGATTGAAAGGTTGCTAAATTTGGTAACTACTTGTGTCACATTGTGAAATTAGAAGAGCATACTTTCAAACATATTTTTAAAAAAAGGGGTAAAGCTAATATAATAAAGACAATGTACAGAATTTTTACTGTTTTATGTAATGCTAGACAGAATTGAAGGAGGTTAGTCAATTTTTTATTTTTATTTAACATTCAAGAATTTTAATGTCCCATAGGTTCTGGATTTTCTTTTGAGTGCCTATTACCTTTGTTTTTAACATAATTTAATTAGAAGTTTATATAATTTTTTTGAACATTTTCTGAAACCCAGTTTCCCCCAATGGCAATAGCTCACAAAACAATAAATACTACCATATCACAACCAGGATACTGACTTTGATACCATCATCCATCTTACTCAGATTTCCTCAGTTTTACACATGCTCATTTGTATGTATTAATTTCTATAGGATTTATTATCTAAGTTCAGATATTCACTACTACAATCAAGACACAGAACAGTTTTAACACCGTATGTTGCCCTTTTACAGCCACATCCACCTCCTTCCAGCCAATCCCCAGTTGGTTAGTTTTATTAATGATGTACCTCATTTTCACAATGTTTAAAAATAAATGTAAATAAGGCAAAGGGATTTTCTTATAATTTCTTGTAAACATTGAACTGAGGCCACAGACCTCTTACCCTACACATTCACTGTTGGAGTGCTTTTCTGGGCCCATGGCCATACACAGCATCCACTCATTGATAACTCCCAAGTGTTTATCTATAGCTCTAACCTCTCACCAGAATTCCAGACTAACATTTCTGGCACTGGAATGCACACTACTGGAATTTCCCAATATTCACCATTCCAACTTGCATGAAGAAAAGGTACATGCAGTGTCCAAATGGACTTAACAAGCTCAAAATGGAATCGTCTTTCCAGCTCTCCATCCCAATCGTTCCTTCTGTGCATAATGCCATGTCAAAGAAATGGCACACCATTTACCCAGTTGCTCAAGTCCAAAACCTAGGTATCATCTTTGACCTCTCTCCTTCCCTCACAGCCTACAACCAATCCAATCCAGAGTCAGGAAAAGTGAAACCTGGAATCACATAGTTGGGGCAGACCAACATGGAGGTACTCTGATATCTTGACGAGGATTCCACCTTTTGTGTGTGGGGTGGAGTTTCCCAAGACACTTAGAGTACATCTCATTTTGCTAGTACACTTGTACATACTGTTAGGGTGAAAATAATTTTTTTATTTTCTCAACCCTCCACAGAAACTTGGTGTTGCATACCACCTCTCCCTCTCCATGCCAACCAAAAGAAAAAAAAAGCCTGAATGGATGGTATATAAACGGGGGCCATCAGACTTTAAAATGTTGGGTGATGCACCTGTCTCTAATACCTGATTTAGGGTATGAGATAAAGAAACTGGGGATATGTGGACTCGAATTTGTGGTAGGGACCAGAGGCAAGTCCTCACTCCAAGAGGACAACTTCATCTTTCAACTTCGTTTTCTTTTACTTTGAATTCCTGATTTCAACACTTTGGGTGACAATAAATTACTTACCTCACAGATGTCCTTTCTTGGCACAGAATATTACTACCAGGTCTTTTAAAGAGAGTCATTCAGCCCTGACCATAACAGATGCCCAAATGCATCCTTATTCTCTGCAATGCCTCTAGTATCTATTACACTGAGCATTTTCAATTACCAATTGAAAAATGATCAATTTTAATTACCATTTCAAAATCAATTACCACTTTAATTATCAGAATATTTCACTGGCTTGATAAATACATAGTGCAGAAAATGTACTTTTGTTTTTCTCCTGTTCATTTCACAGGGACTACTGTTCCCACATAAAGACACTTCTCTGGCAAAGAATATTTTCCAGGACTTTTAAAGAGGGTCATTCAGCCCTGACCATAACAGATGTCCAAATATATCTTATTCTCTGCAATGACTCTAGTATCTATTATACAGAACATTTTCAATTATTAAATGAAAATGATCAACTTTAATTACCACATCAAAATCAATTGCCACTTCAATTATAGAAACATTTCACTGGCTTGACAAATAGTGCAGAAAATGTACTTTTATTGTCCCCCTGTTCACTACACAGGGACTACTGTTTTCACATTTAGAATTCTCTAGGGTAGGGAGTTCTTAATCTGGACCTTACAGAGTCTGAACCATTCAAGTTGTGAGCAAAATTGTGTGGAGATATGCATTTTTTCCTTAGAGAAAGAACTGTTTGAGCTTCACAGCTTACCCAAAGGGGCAACTCAAAAGAGGTAAAAGTGAATGAATGAATGAATGAATGAATGAATGAATGAATGAATAAATAAATAAAATACAACATGGCTCTAGGAGGATCTTCTTTACAGAAGCCTGCATTCATTTATTCTAGAAGAAGCTGTATGACTTGTCAAATATAAGCCATGCAAAATGGCCATCTCAGGCCTACACCTTATCAACCTTACCATACAGTGATTTGTTATGTTCTTGCAAAGGGCCTCCAAGACATAAGCTCTGAACAATGTTAACTGAATGGTGCACAATTACTTTGCTAACTTTATTTACTTGTTTTCTACACCTACTGTACAGCAAGCACTAGCAAAGGCTCTTTAGTTGCTTCCAAAGTAGTGGCCTCCCAGGAGTTCACTTTATATAGAAAATAGTAAAAACAAAATGTAAAACAGAATATAATTGTCACAAGAAAGCTACTGATCAAGTATTGTGAGAATTCAATGATGGGAGAGATGTTTCTCTGAATTAACAATATCAGGATGGATTTGAGGAGATGGAAATATTAAAAAATGGAATTTGAGGAGTAAAGAAACTGCTGACCTGATG